GGTTAAGAAAGTTGATGACATATGTCAGGTATGTGTGGGGCTGGTTTAGTTTATTACTTTGTAGACCTTGTCTGAGATAAGATAGGTAGCTTCTCCTGAAATGCAAGCTTTTCTTTTAGTGGCAATCATGGCATATTTACTTCAAACTTGATTGGTCTGTCTTTTCATTTAAACTGCTTCTATTTAACCATCCCCCCCCCCCCCCCCACCTCACTTTTGGCATTATTGGCTGACAAATGGCATCTAACAAATAACAGAAACTGGAATAAAGGTGTCTGTTAGCAGTTGCTATGACTTGAAAAAAAAAATGCAATACTGTATAAGAATACTGGTACATGAAGTTGTTGAACTGTTGAAATTTAGTAGAATTGCTATTTTAGGTGTATGAAACGGTGGAGACGATGGTACTTAGCCCGGATGGAGTTGGTAAATTCGCAGTTCAGAATGAAGAGAACACTCCTGTGAGTGAACTGAAAAGCCGCTTCAAGAGACTAGGGTCGTCGGTGTTTGGCAGGGATAAGAATTCAGGAAAAGGATCCCCAACAAACTCAGAGGAGAACCTTATAAAGCAATCAATCTCATCCATATTCTCAAAGAAGCCACCTAAACACAGCAGCACAAATCCGGGTGATAATAAGTTTTCCAGTCCTGTTGATAATGACTGGACTATTGTATAACAAACACCCTTCTCATCCAAAGGTGCAACTGTAAATTTATTTGTGTGAACTATGAACCAGTAAAAGCAATACCAAAATCATATGATTCTAAAAAGTTGCCTTCAACTTGAGTATTATTTTCCTATGTAGTTTATGTTGACGCAAAGCAGTATATACAAGGATTAATCTTAAATTAATGTTTTGAAATTTTAGTGGTAGTCCAATATGTATGAATGTTTTAAGATGCATACATCACATATTCACACATCGACGTCATGGCATGAAGTGACTCTTCCAAATGGGTGGTCATGGATTTGAGCCCCAGTGAGGGCAGTATTGACTCTTTGTGCTTCAGTAAGTTGAGAAAGTAGCTATGAACAGATATTATATTGTAACATAGTTAGTAGTAAAAAAAAAAATTGTTGACTTATTGAAACAAACTATTAACATAAGTTTGCAACTTGGGCACAAATCCCCTATCTCTACTACATGTACTCCTTAAATTTTACTCTCTGATGTGGCGGATTCTAATAAGTTATTTTTTTCATGTGAGTTTCAATACAAGTGTCTACATCAAGATTTTGTGTATGAAAATACAAGTTGAAAGTATAAAATGGAGTACATATAGCATTTTCCCATTCTATATGCGTATATATTTGTCCTTAATCATTTTGCTGGTCCCCCCTTATACATATATTTGTCCAAATCATTTTGTTGGTCAGAGACGTGACAATAACATAGTACATAAATCTAGCTACCTAAGTCAACTTTACGATGTTTATTAACAGCTTTAAAATTTTTCCTTAATTGTAATTCCGTACATTAATAATGATACGTGAATCAATTAATTGCCATAATGTAGTTACACCTTGCCTACAAAAAAAAAAAAAAAAAAGAAGAAGTTTTCTCGTTTCATGGTTCCACACGCTGACAATAGTGAAATAATGTAGTTAAACCTATTCCTATAGATTTAGATTAGATTCAGATCCTTCATCCTTTTTATATAACTCATCAATGATATATCTATTTTTAGAAAGTAAAATTATCATTTCTCACATTAATTTTATTGATAAAAAAGGATTAAAATTGTGATATTTTTATTTTGTCTAAATCAATCATAGCATGTCACATAACTAAGAAATAAACAATAGAAAAAGAAGAAATGATGATGTACTTTACTCAAAGCATCCTCTACATAAATACATTTTAGTGGGTTTTTTCTATGACATGAAGGATAGATGGTATGATGTGGAAGGAGAGAGAAGAGAGATGAAAAATAATTTGCCGTCTTTTTGTTTTTTGTGGGTTCCACGTTTTTTTTTTTTTTTTTTTTTTTTTTTTTTGATTTTTTGTTACAAGCTTTCCTTGTTGGCGCATGTTGATACCCATTTTATTTTATTTTTTTTGCATGATAGTCATTGTTTTATTTTTCCTTCTTCTCTTTTCCTCCTCTCGATCCTATTTGGCACTTTAAAAATTTCAAAAAAAAATAAAAAATCAAACAGATGGAGATGTTCTCAGAGCATCCATAATAATTGAATTTTGCACGATTTTTAAGAATGCCATGTATGAAAGAGATAAATATGGGGGAGAAAAAGAAAAAGAAAAAAAATAAAATAAAATTCTAACAACATTTAAAAAAAAAAAAAGTAGTTTAAAAGTCAGAATGGCCACCAGCTGGCGACCACTCTAACGCGTCCTAGCGGGCGCGTGGGAAACACGTGTCCGCTGGGGCACGATATTGCGCCTCAAATGCGCTCCATGCGGTATTTTTTTTTCCTCTTGCAAAATTCTTGAATTTGCAAGAAAAAAATTTGCTCAAAATTCATGCTCCACATCAGTTGTCTTCTTGTTTAACAGTTTCTTAGTCTGCAAAAAAAAAACTCAAAAAAAAAAAAAAAAAAAAAAAAACCATTGATGTGGTTGGCCTCATCATCTATGCCTTTTACACGGTTTTTGAAGTGTCATTAACAAAAAGAGAGGGCAAGAAAAATGGAGAAAAAGAAAAAAAGTGAAAAAATTTGACAACAAATTTTTTTTTTAAAAAACTGAAAAATATTATAAAGTTACGCGACCGGTAGGCATGTGCTGGGCACGATTCTTGCACTCCAGACACAAGAATCAGACTTTGTTCTCCCTTTTCTCTCACATGGTGGGCCCCACAAAAAACAACATAAATTGCAGGGGGGAAAATCAAGTAAAAACCACTATCAACATTTGTTAAAAACCAACCTTGTAGTTTTTTTACTGTTTCAAAAACTAGGAAAAAGCCCTTATTGGAGATGCTCTCATTTTTTTTTATGTTTGCTAAGTAATTTGTGAATCATATTTTTTATAATTTAACTCGAGATTTTATTTCTATGTTAGGTTTTAAGGAATGATGTCATCGGTTAAAAACCTTGTGATCGAGTGGTATAAGTGTGACTTCAGGTTCAAATCTTGGTGTGCGGGCATTGACTTTTTGTGCTTTAGTAAAAATTAAAAAAAAAAAAAAAAAAAAAAAAGGATCGGTGTCATCACTCTCTTCTTCTCCCAAAAGGTGTCATCACTCTCAATTTTATCTATAACGCTCTGAGTTTGGATATTGCATTAATGACATTTCTCTATTTTCCCAAAATAAAAAAGTGAAAGTGAGCATATATTACTGTAGTATTCTAGATTTATTAATTATTAATTCTAAAAAGACAAAAATGGGGCCGAACGACGCCGTGCTATAAAAGCACGTTTCCATTTCAGTTGCAACTCCAGCTCATCTATCGTTCATGGAAGAAAAAAAAATAAAATCGAATCAAAGAAAGCTTTAAGCAGGAATAGTACTAACGCGGTTCTTTGCAGCGACTTTCCCTCTCTAATCTCGTAGGTCAATCTACCATTCTGCCACCTTTTCTCGTGACTAAATCAGGTCAGAACTTCTTTCTTCGATCTGCTTTAATGCTATGTATTCCTCTGTGAATGTTTGTTCTCACAATCTCCAGTTTCTTTTCTTTTTTTTTTTTTTTATTTTTTTTGAATTTTTTGAATTTTTCGATGGATTTAACAGTGCTAAGAGATGTTGGGCGTTTTACGGCGAAAAGTCGCTTCTGGCACCGCATCTGCTCCGGTATAACGACTTAATTCAATTTGTTTTATGCGTATAATGTACGGTGATATGTTATGTATCTTATGTGGTTATATGTGTTACTTTTTGGAACAGACTTTAGGGAAATCGTTGCGTAGGATTCAACCTGGAGCGGTGACACCTAGAGTTTGCTGTGCTGCAAGAGAAGAGGTGATGACTATTTCGCTTTGTTTGTTTTTGTTTGCATATCCATTCCAAGATTGTCGGTGCGTTGTGGTTTTTTGAGGTCTCATTGGGAGAATGGGAGGTGGATATACTCCTTTTTGCATAATCAGGTTTTGGCCTGGTGGGATTCTATTTTTTTTGGTAGTTCTAACATAAATTTAACATTGGCTTGAAAATTCTTGGTATTACCATATTGCTAAATTCTAATGAGTTTGACAAGTTTTAGGATAGAACAGTGATGACAATGCTAGTAAGCTCTGGATGACATGTTACAATTTTTTTAGTATATTATTTCTCTGTTGTTCCTTTTTGTTTTTCTTTTGATTAAAGATATCCTTCTCCCAAATGATTAAAGATATCCTATTATAAGGAATAGTATACGTTTGTCACCTGAAAATGTTGAGGTGAGTTTCTAGTTATAGCAGGATATTGCTTGCTGCATTTGCTTGGTTGTTTTTGGACCTCTTGGTGCTTTTTGTTTTTGGTTTCAATTTGGAAGAATCTAATGTTTGGAAATGTGAACAGATCTTTATTCATCCCAGAGGATGTTATCAGGCTCAAAATTTCTGTCAACTTGTTTTAGGTAATCTCTTGACATCTTATGTTGTGGCTCCAAACTTAGCAAAATACACACCCTAACTATATGTCAATTTGTAATAGATGCAGGTCACTTGATGGATATGCGACCTCAAAGGTTAGTGATCCAAATTCATTCTCTCTTACGGTATGCCAGCTATTACTTGGGATTTTGAGCATACTCAAATTCATTCCCCAATTTCGTATGAAGACTACACTTCAAAATATATATCATTAAAGAATACTTGTCACCAAATAAAAGTTAAATAAAACGTACCCAATTTATTTCCTCCTGAAACTTGCATGGCTCTTTTACATCTATACTTTGTTTTCTTGGTGAGTAGCAAATGTAAAGTGGTGATTGCTGCTTCCTATCTGTGTGTCTGATTCATTGCTTTATCTGCAGGGGGGTTATGACCAATGTTCATCAAAGTGGTACACTACAAAATTGGAGCAGGCCATATTGTTCCAGTGGTGGTATGATGTGCTTTTGTGCAATAGTGATTATTCTTGTGTGCAATCTTAACATGGTTTGCCTACATATGTGAAATGCTTATATTGATATTGTTTGGAATCTTAACATGGTTTACACACCCATATGAAATGCTTATATTGATAGTATCTTGTCTTTCATTTATTTAGTAAGCTCATATCCAGGTGGAATGCTTGACTAGATTTCTAGATGGGATTGAGCCAATCTCTATAGTATTGTAAAAGTGGTTGATAAACTGGGCAATCAAAGGGTATGGCATAGGCTGATGTTAAAATAAGAATTTGGTTGGAACTTTATCCCTCGTGCCATATCATTCCTTTCATTGGATTTGATATTTTTCTTTCTCCATCTTCTATTTCATTTCCTTCCTGTTGGGGTGGCTCCGATTTTAGTAGGGTGGAGAAATCAGATCCACAGAATAATGTGGCAGTCACCATTGGTGAACTGTGTGCATATCTTTATCAAGTAATTTTGTTAAATCGGTTTGTCTTAAAACATCAGAGAGTGGTTGGTACATCTTCCCACCCCTTTCCTCCGTGCTCTCCTCTCTTGCTGCATTTGAAAGTGTTAATGAGATAAGTACACATGAGATGTTTATAATCTATTGTAACAATGGTTAAGGTTCCATTACATAATTCATAACTGAAGGATTTGTTTAAAACTATTGAGGTATGTGTTTCACCTCAACTACAAGTTTAAGTTGTTTGCATGGATACAACATTTATTATTTTATATTTATTCTCAACAGAAATTTAGTTGAGAATAGGAATAAATAATCATTATTTTTCAATGACTTTAATTATGGTTGACCCCTTAGGTTGGTGTAGAGTAATTGAAGGAAGTATAGGCTCTGCAATATATTTGTAATTGTGTATATATGTTGTAGTTATGTTGTCACTGGCTGCTGACTTCATTTTCATCCATTCTTGTGCTTAAGGTGATCTGGTCGATGCTGTTGTTCCTTATATGGGTGAATCCATAAGTGATGGCACGCTTGCTACATTCCTGAAGAGTAAGTTTCCTTTTTAGTAAGAATGTAAGATTGAGTTCTTCACTCAAATTATTGTTCTTAGAGGCTTGTGTTTTTTTTTTTTTTTCCTATTTACACCTCTCATTGTCTATGAGTAGAACCTGGTGATAGAGTAGAAGTTGATGAGGCAATTGCCCAGGTTGAAACAGATAAGGTATGTGGCCTGATACTTTATTTATTTTAATTCAAGAGTTTTCAAATTTAAGATTAATATTTTATATTTGGACTTTCATGTCTTTCAGGTAACCATTGATGTTACCAGTCCTGAAGCTGGTATAATTCAAGAGGTACAATTGCCTAGCAAGGATATTTATTTGAGTTCATATTATTATTTCCATTCTTGATCGTTGTTTCTAAATCTGTAATTTGTGGATTATAATGTGCTTTTAAATCTCTTTAGTTTGTAGCCAAGGAAGGAGATACTGTTGAACCTGGCACCAAGGTTGCTGTCATTTCAAAATCTGGTGAAGGTGTGAATCATGTTGCTCCATCTGAGAAGGCTGCTCCACAACCATCTGATCCTGTTGAACAGAAAGAGAAGCCAAAGACTAAAGTTGAAGCTCCTCCTGTCAAAGAAAAGCCAAAGGAAGCATCACCACCGCCCCCTAAAACCTCTGCTACAGAACCCCAGCTTCCCCCCAAAGAAAGAGAAAGACGAGTACGACTTACAAATTCATTGTTTTCCCCTATTCCTTGCTGCCTAATTTTTATGTAAAATTTTCATTTGAGCCTTGATCTCAAATATATTTTTATGTATGGCAGGTTCCTATGACCAGGCTTAGAAAAAGAGTTGCCACACGCTTGAAGGACTCGCAAAATACATTTGCATTGTTGACAACATTCAATGAAGTTGATATGTAAGTTTAGACATATTTTTATGATGATTGGAAAGGTGGATGAACTTTTGTCAGTGATGTTAAGGTGACTTAAAGTTTTCAAGAAACAGCAACAAACATGATTAGGATTTAGGATTTTGGTTAGAATTCCTCTCAAAGCTTGATCTGTTACTGGCTGGATTCTTGTTGAAGTATTGTAGAAATCAAGAATGCAAAATTGCACATTACAATTTGCTCAGTGTAAATTGTTAATAATGTTGTGGTTCATGATTGTTACCACTTACTCCTTTCTACACAATTGATGATTGCAGGACAAATTTGATGAAACTCCGTTCTGAATACAAGGATGCCTTTGTTGAAAAACATGGAGTGAAACTAGGACTTATGTCTGGGTTTATCAAGGTGTGTGTGGATAAGAATTTGATTCTTAAAAATGTGAATATTTTTTTCAGTTGACTAAATGCATTTTTGCACAAATTTCAGGCTGCAGTTAGTGCACTCCAGAATCAGCCAGTAGTTAATGCAGTTATAGATGGTGATGACATTATATACAGAGACTACATAGACATCAGTATAGCTGTTGGTACACCAAAGGCAAGTGAACATTCGTTGCTTCTATTGACTTATGCATAGTCTCAACTTCATGGGACTTTTGTGTTAATTTTACAAATATTCATATTCATTGGTGAAAGACAAGTTCAGCAACTATGAATGCTATCAAATTCCCATTATCCTTTTCTCCTTGTTCAGGGCCTTGTTGTCCCAGTTATCCGTGAGGCTGACAAGATGAATTTCGCTGAGATAGAGAAGACCATGAACACACTTGCTAAAAAGGCAAATAATGGAACTATCTCAATCGATGAGATGGCTGGTGGATCATTCACAATATCCAATGGTGGTGTCTATGGAAGTCTTCTGAGTACCCCGATTATCAATCCCCCTCAGGTACCTTCATCCTCACTATTCAGTATCACATTTGTACTTCCAACCTCTATCCCATACTATTACACCATTAACACCCTTATTATTCCTTATTGTAGTCTGCCATCCTGGGTATGCACTCAATAGTGAACCGCCCAATGGTTGTCGGAGGCAACATTGTTCCCAGGCCAATGATGTACATTGCCCTGACATACGATCACAGGCTGATCGATGGAAGAGAGGCAGTGTACTTTTTGAGAAGGATTAAGGATGTGGTTGAAGATCCACGACGCCTGCTCCTGGATGTATGATTGCATACTTCTGATATTTGATCTCTTACACTCGTGTTATACCTGAGTTAATACACTTAAACATGCACAAAACAGGAATAAACCTATAACTATGCGAAAGTTTTGTAGGATAACATTGTTGCTCGCTCTGAAAATTTTCAATACTGCTAGAACATAGCTTACTCAGAGTGGGAGCCGTTATTTAAAATTTTAATTGCCATTGTTTTCCTGGCAATCCAATTTGAGCCGTATTTTCATTAATTTGTGATTTCTGCGAACTTGCCATTCCTGGTATAAGAATTGATTATATTAAGATATCATGGTTTCATTTGTTTTTTTTCTTTCTTTCTTTCTTTCATGCAATGATGAACATATTTTTATTCTTGCTCCAAGAATGCAATTGGTAATGTCCTAGGGCTAAGATGAAGGGAGGTAAAAGTTGCAAGAGAATAAGAAAAGGGGAGAGAAACAGAGTTTGAAAGGGAGAAAATGATAATAATTTTATTAATTTCACCAAAGCATATTGTATTGTATTACATCATCCCACTAATTTTTAAATACCAAAATATTAAATAAGACAAACATTTGTATAACTAAGTCTTGAAAATAAAGCTTTTGTCAGCCTATTACTTTCAGAAAATTAAATGTGTGGGTGAGAAAGAAGACAATAACGATGCAAATATTAAACTACATTTCCTTCCTTTGAGTCTTTGCACCCAAATAACAAAAGTCATCTAAACTTGTGTTAAACAAAGATGAAGAAAATTGCAATGTTTGTGGTTGAAGGGTGGGGGATGGAATATCAATTAGTGTTTGGTGGGAGGCTTGATTCAGTTGATTGCCAAATGATCTTAGAGCAACCACATTAGCTTCAAAATTTTCACAGTTTTTTATGTGCCAACAAAGAGAGAGAGAGGAAACAAAGAGAAGAAGGAAATAAGAAAAATGGTCCACATCTGACGGATTAAAAAAAAATAATAAAAATAAAATAAAAATAAAAAACCAGGAGACGTGCCAGCGGGCATGTGCTGGGCGCTGATCTATTTGGGACCCACAAAAAACTTAACATTGCTGGAGTAAAATTCAGCCTAAAAACCAATGCCCACATCAACAAAAAACCATATTTGATTTCTTAATCTGACAAAAGTCGTTAAAAAACCATTGGTATGATTGCTCTTAATCTATACGTGGAAACGAGCATGCAAGCTGGAGTGGAGGATATTAAAGTGGATATCCACATACATCATCTTAATCCATTTGCATCTACGGTAGGCTCTAGGGTGCATCATCCTCAAAGTGTTTCACGACTGTTCCAATGCAAGTCTTTTTCAGTTCTAGGCAATATTCAATCAAATGGCATCAACACTCTTCTGACGATGCAACTTTGAGTGCAAGGTTGGACTGTTTGACAGTCACTTCGTTTATTTCTTTGTTATTACTTATTCTCTGCTACAATTCCGCACATATTTTCTGTGGCAACTGTTTGAAAATGTATTTATAAGCCTGAATGTTAATAATGAGCGGGGCAGACTTGTTTCTATATATAAATCGTTTATGAGTTTATCTTTTATCAAAATCTACACTTGATTACTTAATAATAGATTAGAACAACTTTATTAAGGGATTTTTTGAGTTTTTTAAAGGTGGAGAGAAGGGAGGGGAAAGAATTTTACTCCTAAAGAGGGCTTTTGGAGCAATTTTTAGGAAAAAAAAAAACGAGGTGTTTAGAAAATGTGAACTCGTGATGCACCTTTTTTTTCTTTTCTTTTCTTTTAATTTTATTCTCTCCAACAATGCAATTTGAACCATTAGGGACGAAAAATGCAAATTTCCCAAATTTAAATTATATTCCTCTTTTTCACGAACCAAACAGTATAGCTGAAAGACTGAAAGACTAAGGGTGCAATTTTTCAAAAAAAAAAAAAAAAAAAAATCAGCCAAAAGTTAAGGAACAACTAAAATTATAAACTCATTTAGCCTTCCCAAGACTGAGATGTCCAATTTCACGGCTTGAGAAAAGCTCTTGAAAATTGAGACGCCATCAGCAACAACACTGCTAATTGCTAAAAGCCCCCTCCGACCCAGACAACTAAACATATCATAAATGACAATGACGCTAACTGGCATCTTAGAAACTCTCATATGAAGTTATATTAAATAGGAAGAAAAAAGTTAAAACTAAAAGAAAATATAAGGAAAAAGTATGGAAAAAGAGTCTATTTGGTATACATATACAAAAATGAGGACATGACAAATAAAATAATCAATGGAAGGGGGCAAGATGAAAAATGTCTAAAGATAGACTTAATTAAAAATGTAGAATTTTACGATTCTAGTACACATGAAATGAAAAATGGAAGATATGCATTATTAAGTTTGATGAAGCATGGTCGATTATCATAAAGAACCATGTTCAAAAATCCTGTATAGCTACAGAAGCTAAACCCCGTGCAAAACTCACAAATTTATGAGTGCTAGTAGCAGACATACATACCTATCAACTTCACTAAAATCATTACGTTCTAACTTCTATACCTTCCTTCAGCAGGTGCTCTTTCACAGATTGAATAGGTACCTGCATTGACAAGCTAATGCTAATGAGCTAATTCATAAAGAACCATAACATATTGCATATATCGTTAGTCAATCATTGTCTATGAAACTTGTATGAGTAATAGAAGTTGCCCATGATAATTTACGAAACGGATAGCTATGACTTATGAGTGCCTAAGGTAATCCATAAGGAATAGGAATGTTATTCCATAGAATAGATAAAGAATAGAATATAAATTCTATTCCAGTGTTTGGTTTACTAAGGAATATACTTCAAGAATTGTATTACAGTGTTTGATCA